CTCGCGCCGGCAGCGCCGCGGTTGTGACGGTCACTGCGGCGAGAGGAGTGTGCGGCCCCAGCGTTCTCTGGAAGTTAGAAAATAAACTCTAAAGGACCCCAAAAGCTCTTCACAGAAGCTCAAGGAGGTGGTAGCCTAAAAGGACGGATGCCTTCTCGTTAAGGCTTCTCCTAGCGCTCTAGCTGACTCTGTTTTACCTGTTTTTCCCTGACTTATTCCGGTTAGTTCCGCTTACAGGTTCTGGAACTGACTGTTGCTCTGTGAGATGCCGGTGGCGGCCGTGCTTGTAGGTGTGGATTAGTTGAGCTGCAGCCTTACAAAGCCCTGTGGAAGAGAAGGGTCATCCTGCTGGTTTTAGTTCAGTGGCCTGAATGACATGAAAAGTTCTTTGTTATTTTATTATTCTAGTTATTCCTGTTTGTAGAAGGGTGGAAGTGCTGCGGAGACTTTTCAGGTCTCTGGTTTAGAGCCTTCGTGTATTTAATTCTAGGTTGTTTCCTTTCGCCGTGCCTTAGTAGCAGCGTTTACTGTAGGCTCTCTGTTAGAGGAGTTGTTGGGGAATTTTGTTTTCTGTTGCAAAAGTGCTGAGGTTATTCACAGGTGGGACATTAGCAGCTTGTGCATTATTGTCTCATGTTCTAGTCTAATCGTTTCTGGGAAGCCTTGTATTTGAATTGCATGTATGTTGGGACATCCATTTAGCCAACAGGCTAAAATGCTCCAAATTAACTTTTTTTTTTAAAAAAAGCTTTATGCTTTATTTGCCTTTTTATTTTTCTGCGTTTTGCCTTTTAGATTGAAACGTGTCAGCCACAGTACAAAGAGAAATAAATACACTTGACCCAAAGAAAATTTGGGTTCATGATTTTGAGGTAAAGTGACTGCTGGGGCTCAGTCCCAGCTTTAAGTTTGTCACAATTCCTAGTTCCTAGTTTTGGTGTTAGCTGCTAAAAAACTTTGAGCACGTCCTCATTTACTTTTTTTTTTTTCCCCCCCTATTTCTCCTTCTATTTGTTGTGTTGTATCTGGGGCTTACAAGCTTTGGGGGACGGTAGCTGTTTAGGTGGTGTATTGCGCAGTCTAACACTGTTTGGACCTAATTCCAGTGTCCAGATGCTTCCCTGTTGAAGTGTTTTGGAGACTTAAAAGTCATTCCAGGGTTCCATGGCACCATATTTGAATATCCCTGCAGTAGCTGTGTCACCCTCCCTGGGGGCTAAGAGGTCCCACTGTCATACATTGCCAGCCATTACATAGTTGTAGTTATGTCCTTATCTTTTGAGTTAAAAACATGAACATAACTTGCACTTTTTAATGTTTTAAAGAATGGGGTGGGGATGAGGGAGGACCCTCACTTTACCTGTGTTTCCAAACATAAGTTTAGCGGCTGTGTCCCTTATGGTCCTGCATGTCTACCTGTCCTATAGCGGGTGCTGAGTTAAAGGTTTATGAACGTGAGTCTAGTAATGGTTGTATAGTTTTATTTTTTATTACAAAGAACTCATAGGCTTATATTGATAAAAAGGCATTTTTCCTATTAAAATGAAAGCGAACTATATTGATTTGTGAAAGCAATCTTTTTATTTTTGTATAAAAGAGATGCTATAGGTTATGGAAGACTTACTGAAAAATGGGAAGTGTGTGAACTGTCCTCCTTGGTGAGCATTGCTTTTTGCAGTACTGACCCCAAGATCATCTCTTAAGGCCCCTATCTACTCATATTTATGCCAGACAATAAATTGTCTCCTTTGCTCTGCTGCTCAGATTTAAAATTGGTTCTTTAGAGAGTTCTGTAGAGGGCGGACTGCCGATTTTTAATTTAGCAAAAATATTAGTATATACTGTAACAATCAATATGTTTTGTGATGCTTTTTACTGAACTCCCAAGTGATATGTCAAGTTGCTGAGAGTTAGTATGGAAACTTTGTTTCCTTCCAGCTTATTTAGTAAACAAGTTACATAGATTTTTCTTAGGAGAAAAGATCATTTTTATTATTTATGTAGTCAGGATCATATAAGGAGTTGCAGTCAAGCTCTGATAGGAGCAATACAGTAGTTAGCAGTCATTTTGCTGTTGCTGAGAGCTGACAGACTAGCTCTGACAAACGGGCTATTTTTAATAAAATAGCTTTGTATCTTAAACTGCGTTCTCCAAGATAGTTGTTCTCCGAATAATTTTGGGACCTGACTTCTAGAAGAAATCATATGTGAAGGGATTTAAGATAATTTTCTAGTGGGTTAGCTTCAGTATGTTGTATGAGTCTTGAGCAAACTTGAACACTTATTTTGCTTAAAACTTTTCTGTTAATATCTAACCTCTTTATGGACTGTTAAATAACCAAAGAATTACAGCAACTTATTTTTCTCTTTCATAGACAATGATTTGCAAGGAACAAATAGTTCAGGATCATTGGGTGGTCTTGATGTCCGTAGAAGAATCCCTATAAAACTTATCTCAAAACAGACCAACAAAGCGAAACCTGCACCTCGAACTGCAAGGAATATGACCAGGATGCCTTCAAAGACTCAGGCTGGCGATGAAGGTAAGTTAATAGAAATGCTGGTACTGTAGAAAGGGAGCTAAGTGTTGTTCTGTAGCGTTGTTCAAGACTGCACTTGGTGTTGGAGGCTTATTCTGCTGGATTCTGCATGAGTTCAGAGCAAGTTTTGTATTTCCATGTTCTGCTGTTCCAGAAATAATAAATGATGCCTATTCTCTAAATAGACCATCTCGCTGTTTTGAGTGTGTTTTTTCTGCAGAACTGGCCCAGCAGACTGGATGGATTGTGGCATTTCTTTGTGATCTCAGTGCTTTTAATTGCAGCTTTTATCAGTTATGGAGCTCTGAGGTTGGCTGGGAAGTGGTTGTGTTGTCTTTGTGTGTTTTCCTCTTTCCACAGAAGAATTTGATTATAACGAAGAGGAGAGATACGAATGCAAAGGAGGTGAAATGTTCGGAAATCAAAGGAGACTTCCCGGACCCATTTTCTGGGACTATAAGGTAAAATCATGGATGGGAAATCACGGGTCTTGGTCTGTGAGTCCTACCAAATGGTGGCTTATCCTGGTAGATATGTTTTTAAGTAAAAGTGCTTTCACTGGATTTGATTTACTGAAAATGCGTTCTCTGGTTTCTCGTGTTTGTTGCATTTTTGCTTCTTCTCAGTCATTTCAGAATTTGCTATGAGTTGGTAGTGCTTGAAATGAACAGCTTGACTGATGCTTTTTGTTTGCTCCTCCTTTTCTCTATCCTACTAGATAAACTTGCTGGGGGAAAAGGATGATACCCCTGTCCATTTCTGTGATAAGTGTGGATTGCCCATCAAAATGTATGGACGCATGGTGAGTGAAAACCTCAGGGGAGGAGGCAGCTCTGGCTTCCCTTTAAGTACAAATAGGCCTTGCTAGAGGTAACTGATTTCAGCAGGTCTTGAGCAGCAGGAGAGTTTTCAGGGAACCAGGGCCTTAACTGCTGACCTGTTTTTTTTCTGTATGACTGATGTTAATTTTTCTCTTGATTAGTTAAGCAAACTTGAAAGGGTGCCTAGTTTAAAGAAAAAGGAGAAAAAAAATAGAAAGTAAACAAAAACCTCAAGTTCAGTGGCTTTCAATCTTACGTCACTGAGCTTTAAAGCTAAGTTCTTTAACTTAACTGAAGACTTGCAATGAATTTCACAAGACTGTTCATTTTTATGTCCTTTTAATGTGAATGTCACAAAATCTCTGAAATGAAATTTGATTTCTGAATGCAATGAAACAGAGTGAGGGATTTGGTTAAGTGACACTTCTACTCTTAAAATAAGCCTTGCTAATTGGCGGGGGAGGTATAATTAGATTCTTGTGCATCTCCTGAAAATATTCAGGATTAGTATTGGTGCAAATTTTTGTCTGTATCTGTTGCCAACCATCTTTATTTAAAACAAAAACTGTTCAAGTGTGCTCTAAACTGCTCACTCCTGCTGTGTCTGTTCATAGGTAACTTGGGCATTTGTATTTTTAGAAATTGTGTGTCATGCCAAGTAACACACATACTTGGGAGGATGTCTTTAAACGGCATTTTTTTCCTTTAGATCCCTTGCAAGCACGTTTTCTGCTATGATTGTGCTATACTGCATGAGAAAAAGGGAGACAAGATGTGTCCAGGGTAAGTTCTCTAGAGATTCATCATTGATAAATTATTCATAATTACAGGAAAATAGATGACTTATTTCAGATACTTTTATTACACCCTCATTTGTGTACTTTTAGAAGAAATAGCGTAGTTGATTATATTTTTCCCTTAGCTAACATGTTGTAAGAGATTTAAGTGTGTTTACAGTTCAAGTGTTCTTATAAATATTCAGAATATCAGTTTGATCTGGAGAGGAATAAATGGCAGTTTAATTTGCTTATTGCTTGATTCTTAGCAAGCATGATGAGTATTATAAAAGGAGTTTACGATCAAAGTTGATGTCATTTTTGAATTTTAATAACTTTTGATGTCATTTTGTAGTTGCGTTTGGAATCAAACACACTGGAAATTCCAAATACGTTTGGTATCATATACTTTTGGGGGAACTTACAATTAGATAAACCTGAGGATATTTTGGGACTAACTAGTTAGATAAACTTCATAATCAGCAAAATGTCTCTTTCATTGCTACAGCGGGGCGGGGGGCAGTCGGTCCTAACTTGGTGAAATGGTTGACTCCTCGCAAGAGTTTCTGCAGCTTGAGGTGTCTGTGGTGGCAATAACCCCCTCCTGTTCTCTGCCTCAGCTGCAACGAGCCGGTGCAGCGGATCGAGCAGTGTGTGCGGGGCTCCCTCTTCATGTGCAGCATCGTGCAGGGCTGCAAGAGGACCTACCTGTCCCAGCGGGACCTGCAGGCCCACATCAACCACCGGCACATGCGGGCCGGGAAG